TCCAGGAGACATATTTTTCTAGATTTATTATTGGCAGCGTCTACAGTATACATTGTAATTCCACATATAACATTGAAAGTTATTTCTGCTTCTATAACTGGATTAATGACTAATGAATAATAATATATCTACAATGTTTGTGATGAACCTCTCTTTGATTTCTTCTTTTTTTTTTTTTTACATGTTGCATTAAATTTATGTATGATTTAGAAATAATAGATTTTATCTTTGGCTATTTTCTAATGGGAAAAGTAAATCCTGCTAGTAACAGTCACACAATTACTGAATCATGATTTTAAACTTCATTGTGTATCATAGCTTTTTGTTTTTTGCAGACTTGTCTGTAATCTTCAATCTATAAGAATTACACCAACCAAATGGAATTACTGTAAACTATCATATACCATTGTTGATCAAGTACCAGTGCAATATTATAACAAATCCACTAATCTTCTTTTAATGTATTTTTTCCAAAACTATAACATTGGTGATTCACAAGTTTATACACAGCTTTAAAACTATATTTTTCTATAGCAAACCCAGCCAGAAAATTTGATGACCTTATTTTTCTGTAATGTGAACACAAAAAATATTGTAGCTGGGATGACATTAATTCAATAAATATAATTGTCATAATATGTATTAAACATTTACATAATGCTAAACTCCACAGCACTAGATTCCCTTGCGTAAAGAGTATTACAAGGATAAGTGATCGAGAGAAAAGTATAAAATGGTACGTTTTGAAAGTCCATCCTGCAGTCCTAAACTGAAGAGACAAGGGAAGCAAATGGTACAGATAATGCTCCGTAGGACACTAACATCATAGGTGCTTGATTATTTTTAATTTTATTATTATAATTGGCATTTAATAATGTCAACATATACCACAGCTCTTAATAATAAAAAAGGTGAAATTTAACAACAAATGAGACAAACTTTTGACAGGAACAATAGGTTGATGGTGACCTTGCTTTCTAGTGGGGTAGGGCTAATAACACAGGAAGAAGACCAGTAAGGAGACATTGTATAAAAGTAGCAGAGTAAAAGACAGGTTTGAGAATTAAGAGTTAGCCTGGGAGGCAATAGGGTATTCTGAGTAGATGTTTCTTAAAGGACATCTTAATGAATTGAAGACTAGGGGAGAGTCTGATGGAAGACGTCGGGTTGTTTTTCATAATGTGTAGTACATGTACCACGTGATATTGTGGATTGAGCAAGGGAATGTTCCAGCATTACTTTAATTGAATGTAGTATTCATATTTGGATAATTTGCAATACTGGATTATTTGTTTAAAAAAAAAAAATTGGAACAAAGGAAGAAACCAGGGGCAATGCATTATCTACATTTAAAGTCACCTTAAATATTTAAGGTTTAACTGTTCCTTAGCTAGTATTTTTTGTAAATATCATCAATTTACCAATTTTAAAAAATATCTGACCATATTTTCTTAACACATGCAAGATTACCGTTAGCTAATATATTGGATGTTTATGATTGTTTTTGAGGGAGTTATGGTAGAGAGAGCTTTCTGGAGAATTTAAGATCCCCATGAAAATCTTGTACAAAATTCAACAAGAATATATATATATATATATATATATATATACATACATACACACACATACACCCTGTTCCAAATTATTATGTAAATTCTATTTAAGTGTCACAAAGATTAAATATTTAGTTTTTCAGTTTAACTCATGGATGGCATTGTGTCTCAGGGCTCTTTTGATCACTGAAAACAATCTCGGACACCTGTGATAATTAGATTGCCAGGTGAGCCCAATTTAAGGAAAAACTTCTAAAGGAGGGCGTTCCACATTATTAAGCAGAGCACCATTTTCATGCAATATGGGGAAGAAAAAGGATCTCTCTGCTGCTGAAAAGAGTTAAATAGTTCAATGCCTTGGACAAGGTATGAAAACATTAGATATTTCATGAAAACTTAAGCGTGATCATCTCACTATTTAGAGATTTGTGGCTGATTCTGACCACAGACGGGTTTGTGCAGATAAAGGCACATTGAGAAAGATTTATGCTAGATTCATGCATCGGATCAAGAGAGCAGCTGCTAAAATACCATAACATAGCAGCAAACAGATATTTGAAGCTGCTGGTGCCTCTAGAGTCCCACGGACATCAAGGTGTAGAGTCCTCTAGAGTCTTGCAACTGTGCATAAACCTTCTATTCAGGCACCACTAACCAATGCTCACAAGCAGAAATGGGTGCATTGGGCAGAAAAATACATGAAGACTAATTTTCAAACAGTCCTGTTTATTGATGAGTGCTGTGCAACCCTGGATGGTCCAGATGGATGGAGTGGTGGATGGTTGGTGGACGGCCACCCTGTTCCAACAAGGCTGCGACATCAGCAAGGTGGTGGTGGATTCATGTTTTGGGCCGGAATCATGGGAAGAGAGTTGGTTGGCCCCTTTACGTTCCCCAAAGGTGTAAAGATGACCTCTGCAAAGTATGTGGAGTTTCTGACTGACCACTTTCTTCCCTGGTATGCTTTCCATAATAAAATCATCTTCATGCATGACAATGCACCATCTCATGCTGCAAAATATACCTCTGCATCAATGGCTGCTATGGGGATTAAAGGAGAGAAAGTCATGGTGTGGCCTCCATCCTCCCCTGACCTCATTCCTATTGAGAACCTTTGGAGCATCCTCAAGCAAAAGATCTATGAGGGTGGGAGGCAGTTTACATCCAAACAGCAGCTCTGGGAGGCTATTCTGACATCTTGCAAACAAATTCAAGCACCAACTGTCCAAAAACTCACAAGTTCAATGGATGCAAGACTTGTGAAGCTGCTATCAAATAAGGGGTCCTATGTTAAAATCTAACATGACCTGTTAAAATGTTTAAAAAGTTAAAATGTTGTTATAAGTTGGATTGAAATAGCTTTTATATTCAGTAAATATGCTGCAAACACAACAAATGACAATTTTCAGTTCTTTACAACCTATAAAGTGTTTTGAAACGTACTGTGCATAATAATTTGGAACCGTGCATTGTAAATTTTTTATGTTTAAAAAAATACTGTTATCATTAGGAGGTTTGTTCAATAAAAGTTGAACTGTACTCTTAATAGTTGATAACATGAGAATTATGCTGACTGTTATTTACATCAATTATTTAGGTAAATGAGAAATAATATCATTTGCATAATAATTTGGGACAGGGTGTACGCACATCTTATTTGTCAAAGTGTACTGAATTTTTTTTTAAACATTTCTTTATTAATGGTTCACAAAACAGAATACAATGTTCTCAATGTCTTCTTGCTATGAAGGTTATTTTTATACATAGTAATACATAATTTTTCTGCTTACTAAATGTGTCAGTGCTGGCTACAGTATTACACATGTAATGTGGATTTAACATGTGTGCTAATGTATTGTCAAACCACAAATTGTGTCAGATTGATATAATTGACATAGGAAATTTTTTTTGAATTTTGTACTAGATTTGGGGTACCATGGGTACCTTAAACTCTCCAGAAAGCTCTCTCTGCTAGAACTCCCTCAAAACCAACCATAAACATCCAATTAGATATATACACACATCTTATTTGTCAAAGTGTACTGAAAGTTTTTTTAAACATTTCATTATTAATGACTCATAAAACAGAATACAATGCTCTCAATGTCTTCTTGTGGATTTAACATGTGTGCTAATGTAGTGTCAAACTACAAATTGGGTCAGATTTATATAATATAATAATATAATATATATACTTCCTGGCCAAAAAAAAGTCTCTACCAACAAAAAAAAAGGTCACACACTCTAATATTTCATTGGACCTCCTTTAGCTTTGGTTACAGCACACATTCACTGTGGCACTGTTTCAATAAGCTTCTGCAATGTCACAAGATTTATTTCCATCCAGTGTTGCATTAGTTTTTCATCAAGATCTTGTATTGATGATGGGAGAGTCGGACCACTGCGCAACTCTTCTCCAGCACATCCCAAAGATTGTCAATGTGGTTAAGGTCTGGACTCTGTGGTGGCCAATCCATGTGTGAAAATGATCTCATGCTCCCTGGACCACTCTTTCACAATTTGAGCCTGATGAATCCTGGCATTGTCATTTTGGAATATGCCCATGCCATCAGGGAAGACAAAAATCCATTGATGGAATAGCCTGGTCATTCAGTATATTCAGGTAGTCAGCTGACCTCATTCTTTGGGCACATAATGTTGCTGAACCTAGACCTGACCAACAGCAGCAACCCCAGATCATAGCACTGCCCCCACAGGCTGATACAGTAGGCACTAGGCATGATGGGTGCATCACTTCATCTGCCTTTCTTCTTACCCTGATGCGCCCATCACTGGTGGTTCCCCACTATCCTTTCAGTTTTTAATAATGCGTTGGACAGTTCATAACCTAATTTTAGTAGTTTCTGCAATCTCCTTAGATGTTTTCTCTGCTTACTGCATGCCAATGATTTGACCCTTCTCAAACAGACTAAACATATTTTCCACAACCACAGGATGTGTCTTTTGACATGGTTGTTTAAGAAATGAGAAGCTACTCATTGCATTAGTTGGGGTTAAATAACTTGTTGCCAGCTGAAAGATAATAGCCCATGCAGTAACTATCCAATGGGAGGCTCTTACCTATTTGCTTAGTTAAATCCAGGTGGCAACTTTTTTTGGGGACAGGTAATATAAATATATATATAATGGAGAAAATGGGTTGCCAATTAGATGTGGTAGGTCAGTTTTGAAAATATCAAGTTTAAGGAAAGCAGGAGAGAAGCAATTAGCGACATGTTTCTGGAGGGTTGGAGGAGAGCTAAATCTTGGTGTCACCTTAAATATTAGATGTTTGACTTTCTTCTAGCAAGAAATGTTTGTAAACATCATCATATTACCAATAGTGATGTCCCGAACTGTTCGCCACGCGGTTCGCGAACGGTTCGCCACAAACGGTTCGACGCGGACTCATCATTGAGTAAACTTTGACCCTGTACCTCACAGTCAGCAGACACATTCCAGCCAATCAGCAGCAGACCCTCCCTCCCAGACCCTCCCACCTCCTGGACAGCATCCATTGTGAAGCTGCATTCTTAGTGAGCTGTCCAGGAGGTGGGAGGGTCTGGGAGGGAGGGTCTACTGCTGATTGGCTGGAATGTGTCTGCTGACTGTGAGGTACAGGGTCAAAGTTTACTCAATGATGAGTCCGTGGCAAACCGTTCGTGGCGAACCGTTCGAGAACCGTTCGCAGCGGACCGTTCGGCGAACAGTTCGGGATATCACTAATTACCAATTTAAAGAAACATCTGGCCATCTTTTTTAATATATACAACATTAGCGTTAGTTGGAGTTACCATATCCTCCATGTTTTCAGGGACATATATAACGCATACATATTGATGGGCAGCACATGAAAAGGGTAGGCCTGTAGTATGTCGAATTCAGAAGAATGTTTATAAGATTAAGTAATTAGGCAAGGAAGAATCCTGCAGAATATGCATCATACATACTGCAGGGCAATGTTATAATATAAATAAAACAATATTTTATTTATCCTTATTTTATCTTACTAATGGTGTAATTTAATAATGTTATTCGTAACTGTTTTAGTGCCCTTTTTATACCTTTTGAAGCACAGAGAAACAAATACAAGAAAAACTCTGCACACTTTTTTTAGCTTACCATATTTGTGTTATGTCACCTATAACATAAATTATGCTTTCTTTATGCATAATAAGTTAAAGGGCCACTATAGTCACATAATCACAAAGGTTTAATTTAGTGTATCTGGTGAAAAGATAGTGGATCAGAGAAAAGGTAGTGTTTATTTTGCTGCCTAGTAACACATCTAGGTGCAGTAGCCCAGAAGGTCACTAGAGGTGCTTTCTATTTCAGTGCTACATTGTGTGCCCTGCTTCCATATATCCAGGCTTATGTGGACTTATTCTGTGAGAACTAGGGACACACTCCTCACCTGCATAATCAGTATATTGCATTAAAGGGACACCCTGGTGACCAGAACAACTACAGCTTAATGTAGGTGTAATGGTGTCTACAGCATGTCCCTGCAGGCATTTTAGAGAAAATGGCAAGCATGAAGTCAGTGCCAGGAAACTCGCATGGCGATGGAATATGGGTGATTAAACTCACCTTTTACATAGGTGAGTCGAAGGGCTAAATAGTGGTATTACAGCTGTAGTGACAGGAATACATATTTGTATTCATGTCACTATAGTGTTCCTTTAAGTAGGCAGTCACAGCCTTAAATTATTCCTATTAAGATATTATTGTTATTGCCAAATACATTGGATTAAAAGTTTACAACATGACATGAGTTAGAGTTTTAAATGAGATTTAGAGGGCCTTGCTATAACGGTCTGCAATTATCTACCTTTTACTGCACTTTCTAATTTATGGCACAGCAAACTCAACCTGTTGTCTTCAGTGATGTTCCCATACTGCTAAACATTGTTGAAGAAAGTCTCACACTGTACCTGACTTCGTACTTTTCTATATTTCTGACCTCTCCCTTGTCAAGCAAGAGTATTTTTCCTCTCTAGCATCCACCCAATCTCATGACCCCAGATGCCTCTTTCATACCTTTAACTCCCTTCTTTGCCCCACTGTAACCACGCCTTTAACTAATCTCATAGCTATCGATTTTGCATGTTACTTTACTGAGAAGATAAACCAAATTAGTAATGCAATCTCCCTATTTCCTCCTCCCCTCCATCCTCTAGTCTGTACCTTCTTTCACTTTCGAACCCTTTCCTCGTGCAAGTAGGGGGGGTTCACCTATCCAAGTAGCCAGGTGAAGCGCACTAATACATAACCATTTGGGAACTCTGCACTGGATCTGAGGTTTTCCACATCCCACTGAACTTTAACCACGGATTATTCTGCTGTGTACCCTTTGATCTAAGCACTATTTGAACAGTTTTTTTCTGGGGATCTGCACTGTCTGGAGATATGTACATTGTTGGCAGTACCTTTGGGGAATATTGTATTTTGGTTATAATGTTGCAAAGCACCTATATATCTGAGTTAATTTGATTATTGTGCCACTAATCCAGTTATGTCCCAGATACCGAGGAGCAAGGGCTGGTGTGTACTGTTAATTTTGATGATCACCTGTTGTGATTGTCCCTATAAATAGTATAAGTGGATAGACAATGGAGTACCAAAGGAAATTGTGATATAGTATAGTCTGAGTTAAGTGTCAGCTGTCTTTCAGACTCGGAACCAATACATAAGGAAAATAAATACATCTTATAGAAGTAGTTAAAATAAACACAATGTGAAACAAACATATATACAGTGGTGCTCATGTACAAAAGTGTATTCACCAACAGGTATTTAGTAGGTAAGCAGATAGTATCATCAAATAATCACCAGCTACCGTGGTAATGCAAAGCCTTGCTATACATAAAGGTAAGTCTATATTTTCCCTGTTACAGAACAGGTAAAGGATACAAACATGAACAGCTAAACGCTAGTTACCCTAGGGTGTGGTGAAGGCTATCTTGTTTAAAACCATCAACAGTAAATATAGAAAACTACATGTTGAGGGATCACAATGTGCAATAGCTGTAGATAAATAAAGGTATACCCATGCGCACATTTGTGCCAGGGTAAAAATCTCTATACATAATGTGTGTTGTGACTCAATGAACATTGCCATTTTTACCCCTTCACTAAGTCTTTGCTGGTGTTTGGGGAAAGACTACAAGCACTTTGACGATAAATCTCCAGCATCAGAGGGGAGATGGCGGAGGTACTTGGCTGGAGTACAGGAGCTCCGTGACAGGCATAATTCATTCATAATAACAAAGCAGAAGTACATGTTTGCACTCAAACTGTGTTATGGTGCAAGTATTAAGGTTCCCCACCAAGTTTCAATATTTTTGTCATAATTAATTCATATTGTATTTACAGATACACCAAATCTGTACAAAACAAGGCATTGCTTTCTTCTACTGAAGTCTGCAATTAATTTATATGGTGTGCTCTGATCCACTCTCAATACTTCCAAAGGTTTGCAAATATACTCATAAAGCATGACTTCTAAATGTTACTGTGGAGTATGGGTGCCATTTATAGCCCCTCTTCAAATATGCAGAGGGACAGAATAGAGTATTGTTTCTATGTAAGGTGAAAAACATCCTTGCGTACAGAGGAATGTAAATAGAGTTTTATGGATAACGGTTAGTTTTGCATACAGGTGATATTTAGATAATATTCGAAATTCTGTTTGCAGTATATTTAAATGGTTTAGGAATAAATAAATGTTATCTTACCAGTTTAATAGATCAGTTAAGATGGTGTAGTAAATCATATGTTTCTTATTTCTGTTAGATTAGATTATTATAACTCATGTATTAGATATGTGCTATGTCTACCCTTATAGATAAATTAATAGTAATTACCTTCTTTGTGAACACTTCAGAAAGGTGCTGTATTACAGTTACATTATTAAAAATATTTATATATATATATTCAATATGTATACAGCAATTATGTGGACATCATAAGCATGTAAATATAACCCCTATGCTATTCAGACTCTTTTTCTCTCCTGTTAAGTTTCTTTTTCAGGTCATTCCTGTTATATTGAAACATAATTTTAAGTATTATTCTGTGCTGAATTACTTATTCTCAGCAGAAGATATTTTTCATTAATTTGTAATGAATCATTTAACATTGTGTGCCTTTTCTTTGTTTATGCCATATAAAAACTTAGTTATTATATATAAATAAGTATATGTACTATACTTTTCAAAAACGTTAACAATCAATTCAACATTGATGTTTGAATCTGTTTTGTATATTCACTATACACTAATTATAGCATATGGGAAGACATGATTTTCTTGAAAAAATAATTATATAAAACCATTAACCACTTGAACCTAATCAAATAGATTTTGATCAGGAATACATACTATGCTGTGCTTCCTAGCAGCCAAATACTGAAATTAAAAGTGGACATATTTTCATCCCTTTATCCCAATAAAGGCTACTAAATCTCTCCCTCAACCCATTTTAAAATAATGGATCCCGTGATCAGGCTGTACAAAAGCTATATATGTTTTAAAAGATGCAGAACCCATAGATAACTTTTAGTTAACTATTAGTTAAGTGACAGGTTACTTTTAACAATTGTAAATAAGTGAGCCGGCAACCTGTGCTTAAAGGGACACTATAGTCACTAGTGCAACTACATGTATTCCTGACCCTATAGTGTTAACACGACCATCTAGTCATCATGCCCCCATAAATATAGTAAAAATATTACTGTATTCAAGCCAGAAGCTGTAAATCTGCATGCTGTTAGACTCAGGAAAAACAAGCAGTCTGCTGACATGTGATAGCCTGATCCAATCACAGTGCTTCCCCAGAGGATTGGCTGAGACTGACAAGGAAGCAGATCAGGGGCAGAGCCAGCATTATTCAAACACAGCCCATGCAAATCAGCATCTCATAGAGAGGAATTGAATCAATGAATCTCTATGAGGAAAAATTCAGTGTCTGCATGCAGTGGGAGGAGATACTGAATCACAGGATGCTCATGCACAGCAGATCTGAGTGGATGTAGGCATATTATGCCTCCATCAACTCAGAAGTCCCTCTGGTTTACTCTGAGTGACTGCAACTGGAGGTGTTCCTAGCTTTCAATGTAAACACTGTATTTTCTCAGAAAATACAGTGTTTACCTGAGAAAGGTTGCAGGGAGCTATAGTTCTCACCAGGGCCGGACTGGGGAAAAAATTCGGCCCACTGAAAAGGGGGCGGGACCAGATAGGGTGTGTTTTGTCATCCCCAATGACAAGCACGCCCCATCTCAAAGTGAGCATGTTGGTTCAATGCTCTTCCAGGGCATGAGAAAAGGGCCCTGTATTTGATCTGCACAGCGCAAGCAAATTTAATAACATGCTTGCATTGTGTTTGCTTGAAACTTGTCTCAGGGGTTTCCATAATTGGAATACTCACTGTATCCCATTTATGGAGACACTATGTGTTTGCTTAAAGGATATCTAGTGTGTTCATAGGGGATCCTGAGTGTGTATGTCAGAAATGTAGTGTGTGTGTAAGTGGTGCAGCGTCTGTGTGTAGGGGATCTAGTGTGTGTTTGAAGGACTCCGGAGTGTGTATAGGAGATCTAGT